GGGGAAGTATACCCTAAAATCAAATTTTCACCAGTTGTAGTCTTCGGGGTGCTGAGTCGAATGGTCTTGGTCCGAGGAAGCTGAGACGCTCCCTTCCTACTTGAATCCCAATCGAACTCGCGCACTTCCACCGAAACTGGGTGACTGCGCCCTACTAGATGGGGATTTGTATGCAAAATGTCACTAAAAGCGCCATTTCGTTCTTATAAAAGCACGGATGACCGCGATTGGCCCATATGTTGTAGTCTTTTGGACGCTGAGTCGACTGGTTTTGGTCCGAAAAGGCTGCGATGCAGCGTTCCTCCTTTATTCCCAATCGAACATGGTTGAACAAGCGGTCACGTGCTCCTGCGTACACCAGTCACCTGGTCACCGTGCCTGCAGGGTACAACTTACTAGCCTGTTTGACCTTTTTTGGGTGCACTCCTGTCACTCGAGTTGAACTCGAGTTGAACCTTGGTGTGAAATTTGTCGCCTGCTGGCGTGGTGACCAGGTGATTTGGGCACCCAGGAGCACGTGACCGCTTGTTCAGCCATGTTCGATTGGGAATAAAGGAGGAACGCTGCATCGCAGCCTTTTCGGACCAAAACCAGTCGACTCAGCGTCCAAAAGACTACAACATATGGGCCAATCGCGGTTATCCGTGCTTTTATAAGAACGAAATGGCGCTTTTAGTGACATTTTGCATACAAATCCCCATCTAGTAGGGCGCAGTCACCCAGTTTCGGTGGAAGTGCGCGAGTTCGATTGGGATTCAAGTAGGAAGGGAGCGTCGCAGCTTCCTCGGACCAAGACCATTCGACTCAGCACCCAGAAGACTACAACTGGTGAAAATTTGATTTTAGGGTATACTTCCCCTTTAACTCCCTGCTCATTGCCTTTTCTTGGTTGTACTGAGGCTGAAACTGTCGAAAGTGCTGCTCGACTGACACCAGCAGCCCATACGTTTAAAAAACACCTTTGATGGATGCTTGCTGGTTGGGTGCTGCACGGTCGATGGTTTAATTAGTGCATGGCTCTTGGACATCCTTTGAAGTTCGAGCACCGGTACTGGTATCCATTGATGGATATTTTAATAAAAATTTACAATAATCGATCTGATGGTGCCTACAAAAGACAGCATAATTAATTATGTACAATAAGTTGAATACATGTGCATGATTGTACTAGTGTACTACTAGTAGTAGCAAGAGTAGTCACATCCTTTATTGCTGAACCCACAAATAATTGTGATACAAATTGTAAACCATCCGAGGAAGAAGAGAAAGCCATTAAAAATTAAAAATTAAACAAAAAAAGGTTATTGTACCATGCCAAACGGCTATTATTAAAATACACGACGTAGTATAGTAGTCAAGCACCTACAAAATACTTTGCAGGATAATATTTAAAGGGGAAGTATACCCTAAAATCAAATTTTCACCAGTTGTAGTCTTCGGGGTGCTGAGTCGAATGGTCGTGGTCCGAGGAAGCTGAGACGCTCCCTTCCTACTTGAATCCCAATCGAACTCGCGCACTTCCACCGAAACTGGGTGACTGCGCCCTACTAGATGGGGATTTGTATGCAAAATATCACTAAAAGCGCCATTTCGTTCTTATAAAAGCACGGATGACCGCCATTGGCCCATATGTTGTAGTCTTTTGGACGCTGAGTCGACTGGTTTTGGTCCGAAAAGGCTGCGATGCAGCGTTCCTCCTTTATTCCCAATCGAACATGGTTGAAGAAGCGGTCACGTGCTCCTGGGTGCCCAAATCACCTGGTCACCGCGCCAGCAGGCGACAACTTTCACACCAAGGTTCAACTCGAGTTCAACTCGAGTGACAGGACTGCACCCAAAAAAGGTCAAACGGGCTAGTAAGTTGTACCCTGCAGGCACGGTGACCAGGTGACTGGTGTACGCAGGAGCACGTGACCGCTTGTTCAACCATGTTCGATTGGGAATAAAGGAGGAACGCTGCATCGCAGCCTTTTCGGACCAAAACCAGTCGACTCAGCGTCCAAAAGACTACAACATATGGGCCAATGGCGGTCATCCGTGCTTTTATAAGAACGAAATGGCGCTTTTAGTGACATTTTGCATACAAATCCCCATCTAGTAGGGCGCAGTCACCCAGTTTCGGTGGAAGTGCGCGAGTTCGATTGGGATTCAAGTAGGAAGGGAGCGTCTCAGCTTCCTCGGACCAAGACCATTCGACTCAGCACCCCGAAGACTACAACTGGTGAAAATTTGATTTTAGGGTATACTTCCCCTTTAAATTGCCTAGCATGCCTACAAATCCGCAGAGCATGCCAATGTTAAAGGGGAAGTCCGGTGAAAAATTTAAATTTCAGTGTCGGTAGAGTTTTGGGCGCTGAATCGAATGGTGTTGGTCCCACGTGTCTCTGACAAAGCGTTCTCGAGATATTTCCGTTTGAAAAACTGAGTTTCGGGGGCTGCGCCATGACGTCATGCGGCCGCGCCACACCCTCCGCAACGTCATAGCGTGCAGCTAGGTCAAAAGGAGTGCGTGAAAGCAATAGTGTCAGTGCTATTTCAAATGATTTGGCGACTGATATTAGGTGGTGCAAGCGACCCCGAAGACCTAACTCCTTGTGAGAGTGAGGATGCAGCCATGGCTGACCTTCATGAGTTTGGTCTGGGGCTGAGAACCTCGGTATTCAGCTGAAGAAATGGCCGCGCGGGCCGGTCAAGAGTGAGCGCTACTGAGTTTCCGACTGATGAAGAAGCAGCAGCTATTGCAGACGAGGCTGATATAATTATCAGATCGCTGGAGAGCAGGGTTGCCAAAATGGAGAAGAGTGATGCGAGTACTCTAAATGTTGTTCCATACCGATTCGCTTAGACTCCAGTAGCCTGGCACATGGTGATGTTTTGGTGCGAACTTGGCATATTTCCGACTACTCGAGAACAGTGCAGGCTCTTTGAACCACGGGCACGGCTCTTCGCTCGCAACGCTATGGAATCTGAAAGTTCTAGGTCCGGGAGCTAGCTGTTCGCTGTTTTGTCACTTGTCACGGTTGTGCACTCATCGCTGTAGCATAAAATAATGAGGTGGGACTGGAGCGGAAAACTAAAATTTTCTTTCTCAAAGCACAACCACCAACACCGGCAAGGAGAAACGCACGTTCTCTGACTACATGAACTGATACGAGTGTAGTACATGACAAGTCTGTGTGTTGACTAGTTTTCTGAGTCTTGTGACTCGAGTCTTGTTGCAGCTACCCCAGCACGGCACTGCAGTACTGCGGGAGTAGTTCCGTGTGTGATGAGTTTGTTGACTGCACTACAGCTAGCCTGCACGCAGCGCATTGCTAGACTAGAGCCATACTAGTCTACAGGCCATTGCAGGCTGACGGAAAAAGTCCAACTCGGAAACGGCTAAAATACGGTATAACCTCGAGGTTTACCGAGCTGAAAATCACAGGGTACGTAGTGTTTGTAACACTGAATCGAATGGTCTTGGTCCGAAGAAACTGCGACAAACGGTTCCCCAATCGAACGCGCTCCGATTTTGGCCATTTTGTACACAACTAGATGGTGTGGCTACCTGGCTGCACGCTGTGACGTCATCACCTGGATTTGGGTGAGGCGCGCTCAAATTCGCGCATGTTCGATTGGGCGTATCTGACGAACCATAGGCCGCAGCTTCCTCGGACAAAGACCATTCGACTCAGCGCCCCGAACTCTACGGACTGTGAAATTTAAATTTTTCACCGGACTTCCCCTTTAAATAGGCCAACATATGAATACCGAAGGCGGTTACATGGACAGAAGGCGACATTGGTCGAGAAAAGATGGGCCTATTCTCTTCCTCAAGTAAGACGCTCTGCAACCACGGAGGCACGTGATTGACCACCTCAGCAAAACAAATGCAATTTTGCAGCGTAGCTGTGCCATCACAACAGCGTACTGGAGGTCACTATGCTTGTTAACCACCAGCTGAACAATGTTCTTCAATGCACGAGAGCACTCCGTGCCACATACGCCGTTTGTCGAAAATACGAGCGGAGTGAATGACCCCCTCTCGACATCGACAACACGCTGAAGATAGGCCCGCTTCTTCTGATGTTCATTCCGGGAAATCTGTGCAAGGACTTCCTGTCGCGACAGCAAAGACGCCGAGGGGTGAGTAACCCTCACATCAAAGAATGCATCTTGCTGTGGCGACCAAAAGCCCCTTGCACGGATATCCAATCGAGCCTCTGCAGCACGATTAGCGGTAGCGCCGTGAAGTTGTTCACCATCCAACGGCAAAAGCGGTGGCTCTGTCTGAACATCCGGGATGGCAGAAGTCATCACCTCCACCAGCACATCACGAAGCTCATTGTGTCGCAGACTTGGGTAGCCCCCTGTAGGGCATGTCAATGCATGGTCGACAGACATGTCTCTACCACACACACAAGTTGGTGGAGGCCATCAATACCCCAGCCATAGCGCAGGGCGAGACCATCCCGGAAACATGCTTTATTTAGCGCAAAGCCGTTCACAAAGCCTAGCAAGAGTGCTAGTACATGTACTAGCACTCTTGCTAGGCTTTGTAGTAGTACATAGTAGGGAGGTTCTGCTCTACGTGTTGGGAACGCGACGCAAAGAATCACGCGAACTTTCTTCGCGTTCCCGTAACGTAAAGAAATGCTGTTCTGCTCTACGTTTCACCAAGAGTACATAACCCCCCAGAGTGTGCAACTCCCACATACCCTGTTGTCCCGACAGAATTTCAAGTTGACGTCATTATTTATGACGCAATGCTCCTTGCACCAGTGATTTACAACATGTGTACGGGTGTCAACGCATCACACGTTTTTCTTTCCAATAATTTGTACAGGATCGATCGGCTTCGGTCAACCACAGGTTCCGGATTCGTCTGATAATCCGTGTACAGTGCGCATTGCATCATCAAAATGACGTCAACTTGAAATTCTGTCGGGACAGCACCCATAGTGGAGTTGCACACTCTGGGGGGGGTTATGTACTCTTGGTTTCACCTAGAGAAGTCA